ATATTGCAGTTGTTTCAGGCAGCTCCTCCAAAGAGTGCTTTCTCTGAAACTTCTGAAGTTAAATAAGCAGCTACTATAAAATGTGGTTTTGTATGTGTAACCCCAGCATAAGGGAGACAGTTAAGTGTAATTAAGACTTTAAAAAAAAAAGCTTTTTAATAAACTTTTAAGCTACCATGATACATTCCTTAACTTCATCCAGAGAGTAAGCTCTCAGCTGAACTTCAGTTTCATTCTTTGGATTTTAGACAAATTCAACTTTGTCTTTTAATTTTAAATGAGGAAATAGGAAAGAAAGGCTGTCTTAACACCAGCTTTTTACTGTGGAAGGATTTAGAAGCATAGAAACCTAGACTCATACAAATACTTTATGCATGGCAGAATATGATAAAGTAAAAAAAAATAGCAAACACACCTAGGAAGGTGATATGAGGTTTCTTCAGAAGCCATCCATTCATTATTTGTTTCCTCAACTGATCTTGAAGATCTCGAACATAATGTTTCATCATTTTTCTTATGAATTATGAGCTCATTTTAAAAAATTGCAACTTACAACCTCAATCATAATCAAAAGAAATGCTTACCTTATCCGCTTCACCTGGGAAAGTAGTAGTACAGCTTCTCAGATGTATTTAAGACAGACTTGCAGAGCTCCTTGAAATATATCTTGTGTAATTCTGTGACATGCCCCATGCTGTCTGTTCTTTGTTTATCTATGGTTATCTAATAAAATGATGGCTGGATTTTGGGGCCAAACAGGCACTTATACTTACAATAACTCCAGATGATCAACATGCCTAGCAGTACATTCTAACTTCTATAAGTCACCACAGCATTTGTGCATCAACCACCTGAGGCACATGTTTGAATAACATATAGAGTCTGCAATTTAATGTTGACCAAAAAAAATAAATTCAATCAGTATAGCTGCTTCATAATAACACCTATTTGAAGCATAGCAATGCTCTTAGGTTTTCAAAACTCTTTTGAGTTAAGCATATTGACAAAGGAAATTTTTTATTTTGCCAGTGGATAAAGAAGCTTCTCCTCCAGAATACTGTTAATATATGACCCAGGTTATTGTTGTTGTTATCATTTCTCTTATTATTTGAAAAAATGGAAAATGCAAAGCAAGTTGTATAAGTAACAGTCAGTCCTAGAGTAAATGGAAAATTTGATCAGGGAAATTCTGCAGTTGGGTAATGAGATAAAAGAATCTTTTACAATCTACTTAGCACCTTCAAATCTACCATAAAGCCTAAAGATATTAAGGAAACCTTCCAGAAGTTCAAAAGCATGGGACAGTTAGTAATCAATTGTCTTGTCCAGCATACTCTGTAATGCAATGCAAACACAAAATGGTGTGTTTTGTCACACATTCTTGTTTGACAATGCCTTTTCCCAGGAAAGAGGTCAGCTAAGACTCTGCTGCACTTTGCTCTGGCAGGCACTTCATTGTGAAACTGTCCCTAAATCAACAGACTCTTAGAAACTTGAGCCTTTCCAAAAGGATATAAAGTTCAGGTCAGCTCATAGACCAAAGCCTCCCACCAAACGCAAATGCCTACACAGAACTCAGAATTTGGTTGTCATCTGTGAACTTGCTGTTTTGCCAGCACAAAGGAACATGTTAATTGTTTTGCATGTGTACTTGTGCCTCAGGAAGTTTCCTTTCTGTGAGGGACAGAAGGAGTAACTCAAAGAGAACATGAGAAATCATCATGTGCAGTGTGACTGTCAGTGACTGTTTTGGGGGTTGCCTTCACAGACCTGGGTTCTCTGGCTATCAATGAGTTTTTACTCCCAGCTGTTCCTTGGGATTGTGGCCCTTCCTGATTGCAAACCAAATGAGTTGTCTGATCAAGTTCCTTCAGACTGGAGCACCACACCATCCTGAAGAGATTGAAACTGATGCCTGCAATAATGCCTTAATCTTTCATAGACTGTTAGAAGGGCATTTGTAGCTCAATGTTGACATAATCAGATTGGCTTTTTCCAGTGATAATGAAAGGTATAGGTGGATCCTATGATGGTCTTGGTCACAAGTCTCACACCTACGTGGACTCACACCTATTCTCTGTGTTTGCACACAGCACCAGTGGCTGCTGCCATATTGGGTCTGGACCAGGGCACACAGCAGCCACTTAGTTGGTCACCATGACAGGTGAGGTATGACAGAGTCCCTTGGACATTCCTCAAGTACCTGAGGTCAGCTGGCAGGCAGAATGTGGCCCTGGGTGGTTTTACTTCACTGGGCCAGAAGGAAGTAGCACAGATGACCAGGCCCTTATGCCAGATGCATATACACTGCGCGTCAGCTGGCCAGCTGTGCTAGGGCAGCTAGTCCTTGGGCTGTGCCATGCAGGACGTGAGTTAGCAGGGTGTCTTCGCACAGAGCATTCAGTTCCTTCATGTGCCCAGTGCTGTTCAACTTGTTCATCAATTACTTGGACAAGGGGACAGAGTGCACCCTGAGCAAGTCTGCAGATGATACAAAACTGAGTGGAGTGGCTGGCACTCCAGAGGCCTCTGTGGCCATCAGAGGGACTAGACAGGATGGAGAGTTGGGCAGAGAGGAATCTCATGAGGTTCAACAAGGACAAGTGTAGGGTCCTGCACCTGGGGAGGAATAACCCCAGGTACCAGAACAGATTAGGGTTTGACCTGCTGGTTGACCTTGTGGCCAAGAAGACCAATGGGATCCTGGCCTGCATCAGGAGGAGTGTTGCCAGCAAGTCAAGGGAGGCGATCCTCCCTCTCTACTCAGCTTTGGTGAGGCCGCACCTGGAGTATTGTGGGCAGTTCTGGGCTTCCCAGTACAAGAGGGACATTGAGCTCCTAGAGAGGGTCCAGCGTAGAGCAACAAAGATGATTAAGGTATTGGAGCACCTATCTTATGAGGAAAGACTAAATGAGCTGGGCCTGTTTAGCCTAGAGACGAGATGATTGAGAAGAGATCTGATCAACATGTACAAGTACCTCAGGGGAGAATGTAGGGAGGATGGGGCCAAACTTTTCTCTGTGGTGGCTGGTGACAGGACAAGGGGTAATGGGTACAAGTTGAAACACAGAAAGTTTCATCTCCATGTGAAGAAGAAGTTCTTTCCCATGAGGGTGAGAGAGCCCTGGAGCAGGCTGCCCAGAGAGGTTGTGGAATCTCCTTCTCTGGAGATCTTCAAAACCCGCTTGGATGCCACCCTGTGCCATGGTGCTCTAGGTGTCCCTGCTTGAGCAGGGGGGTTGGACTAGATGATCTCTAGAGGTCCCTTCCAACTGCAACCATTCTGTGATACTGATGAACCACTGGAGATCTTTTCATTCTTTCTGGAGATGCGTTAGCTGTCTGGAAGGCCGGAAGCTTCAGATTTTCTGTTGCATGTCATATCCTACCTGTCAAGCCTTCTGCCTGATGCTGCAAAGCAGGCTAGCAAAGAAACATGTGGCCATTTCTCTAGAAAATAAACTGGCAAAATGTCAAGTCACCTTTGTCAATAAGGAGGCTTTCAATATCTGCTCAGACTGTGCCTCCATTCTTGCCACATGTCCTGCGCCTGCACATATTGCTCTTGCTCAGCAGATGAGGCATGAGAATAGCTTAACCATAACATCCCATCTCTCTGGGGCACAGGAAGAGCTTCTTCTCCCAAATCTCCATGTCATTTTGGAGACAACGGAGGTCACAGCAGCCATACAATATCCCGGTCACTGGTCACATTGCCTTTTACATAGTGAAAACTTTTCCTCTGCATTAAATTTCATTAAATTGCATTACATTTCTTACATGGTCTTTGATGGCCTGGGCATGAGTGAGTCAAGACCCAGATATAGGTATTTGTTTACAGGTTTTGTTCAGTATTGCTGAATTTGCACTCTTTCTTGCCTCTTGTTTTCCTTTGTGAGAAAGAAGAAACTTTGTTCTTGCCCGTAAGCAATATGGTTCCTTCACTTTTTACCCATTTCTTTATTTCATTCTTCATGGTCCAGACCTTTCAGGACTTGCCATGTGATCAATAATCACAGAAAGGCTAGTTTTCAACAAAATCCTTCTTAATTCTTCTAATTATTTAAATATGTTGGCTTTTAAATTTAGTAGAACTGGATTAACAGCTTTTCCATATAAATCACCTATAGTAAATCTTAAAATTTTACTTCTCTTGGAATTGTTCGTATCACTGCTTTTATTTTTAAGAAAAAAAAAGAAGCAAAGCGTATTTTTTTGTACTTGTTTTTGCCACTGAAAAGCAACTGGGTTTATATCATGAATACCCTGATGATATGCAAATAGTTTGAATGCCAGATCTACAATGCTAAGTCTTTTATTCCTCAGATCTGCTCCTATACACCACACTATGGACTTACATGGAGATAGTTAATAATAACAACAGATTTCCTTCTCTCAAGAATATGGATGGGAAATCCTTAATTGAGTAGTTGTCAACCTACTCTTTTTTTCCCTGAGCTTTTGAACTTTTGAAAAGGTGAAGTGAGTCATTGAAGGGTTTGAATTCTCTGCTTCTGAAAAAAATATATATTTTTTTTATTTCTTGGAAGTTATATGGTTTTCAGGCACAATCTGAAATGAGAAAGTTGCTGGAATTTTTGTTCCTTGAACAGAAACTGCCAGGCACTCTTCAATACTCACTGGAATTGTATTGAAAAGTATATAGGAATAAATCAAGATTCTATTAGGCTATTTCTTGGTAATCTGATACAAAGAAAGAAACCAAACTCAAGATGCAGATTTTTTCAGGATTATATTTTAAAATGAGCAGTTGTAATATGTTCATGAAAACTTAAGAAATATCATTCCTAGATGCTTCATTCATTCTAATACGGAATTGAATGTGGCTTTGCTATGGAGACTTCCCAAGTGGGCATTTATTTAGATCAGGCTTTCAACATGGAGAACAGATGGAAGAGATGAGGTTATGCTACCATACTAGAGGAAGGAGGGTCTGTTTCTGTGGAGAGAAAAACATTATTTCCATCTGTCTGTCTTTTTAAGGGGAAAAATATCTGCCAAAGAAGATGATGCCATTGGTTGGGTTGTGTTTGATCAAGAAGATAAATGGGTGGCTGACCCTAAATTCCTCAGATACAGGAGACTGTTTGATGTCTTCCACATCCTCAGTTGAGCCTGCCACCTCGACACCTGCCTCATTGACTTCCATGGATGCCCCATGGAAAACCTTAGATATCTTCAGATTCTCTGCTTCAGATATGCCAGACAAATTGGCCAAAGGGCCAAACACGTCAGTCATGCCCAAAGACATTAAGACAGATGTGAGATTATATTTTTCCTCAATCTTCATGCGAGGGAAGCACACTTGCACTATCTTCTTTTCCATCAAGTCAGGACTGGTCCACTCAGTTATTTTTTCAAAGCTGATTGTGCTCTCCAGCTGCAGAGAGATGCAGGGATATGAAATCTCTCCTATCATTCATTTTTAGCAAGGCTACTCAAAGAAAGAAAAAGGAGGAAAAAGGAAAGGGAAAGGGGAAGGGAAAAGGGAAGCAAAAAGGGAAGGAGAAGGGGAAGGAGAAGGGGAAGGAGAAGGGGGGGGAAAAATAACAAAATGGTCTGCCGTGTCAAGCTAAACTGTTGTGTCATGTGACGCAGCACAGCAGTTTGTGTGGTTTGCAAATTAGTCAAATGGTGAAAGAGATTACAAACAATGCAATGAGAATTTACATACAGCTTAATACCAAACAAATGCAAACACTTCTATGTCTTTAATAACTCTTGTAAAAATAATTTCAGTCACTTACTGAAATAAGAATAATGAATTGCAGAAAGTAGGTGGCATCTTTTTTTACTCTTTCTTGAATATAGAAATATAATTGGATATCATCATGATGACTTAAAATCATTGATATTGGAATTCTGATTTTGTTTCCTTTTTTTTTCAGAATTCCTGGACTTAATCCATTCCATTGAATCTGACTTAAAGCAGTTTTGCTATTTTCTTTTGTTTTCTTTACTGTTCTTATCTTCAGTCCTTGCATGTTCATGAATTCTTGCAAACACTCTTGCTGTTGACATTCATCCCATTAGCCTCAAATTTCTTGCTCTTTGCCTGACATGGATCTTACAGGTATCTTCCAGGCATTTCGTTTATATCTCATGTAACTTCTGAATTTTAGACCGCTTTAAATGATAGTGATCAGTTATTTTATCTTGTTGAGTTTCATCATTTGAAAATGGAGATTCTTTTATTAAAGACATATTTTAACTAACTTTGCATCACTTTTCATTTTATCCATTAATGTAATCAGAAATATTTTGAAAGTGCATTTATAGCATTTTATTAGTGTTTTGTGAAAACATCTACCAGTGATTCTTGCAAAGAATGCCTGGCTGTCATCAGTATTTGTTTATTGCAGAAATACCCTAACAATTAAAAAAAAAATGTTTGCAAACATGCCTATCTGGTCTTCTGAATGGCTACAGCAGCACTGAGACTTGCTTTTATTAAGCTGAGGCAAGGGATTCCTCTGAGCATCCAGTCTCCGCCTGAGCCAAGTCACAGCTGGGAGCCTGCTGTGCATCGCACCCAGCCAGCACTGCCGGCATCATCTAAAGAAGCTGGCTGGGAGTGGACAGTGGATAGTGAAAGGTCCCGCAGCAGTCAAGACTCTCTGAACTGATAACTCTGCTTCTTGCCCTGCAAGGCCCTTACCTGCTCCAGTCTGGAAACATCCTCAGGCAGCAGCACCACCATGCTCAGCTCTTCACTGGCGTAAGGAAGCTCCAGGATTTTTATTTTCTCAGCAGCCACCACTGCCATTTTGAATGTACCATTCTGACACATCATTTGCACAGGTTTGCTTTCTTTCTGAAAAAAAAAAGACAGAAATGTGAAAAGTTGTGACTGGGGAGAAATGTTTCTTTAGCCAGGTGATGCACAAGCCTTTGAAATGGTCTGGACTTGATTGTCAGGCAAGGTGCCATGCATCTCCGTGTTCCTCTCTCGCCTGCTGCTGTGGTCAGGAAGTCTGGATAGACACAGCTGTTACAGACACTCCTTGGGCTTAGGCTCAGGTGGTAACAGCCTGGAGTCCAGGGTGATGACCACAATGACATGGATGTGCAACACCTGGCCTGCTTGCTGTGATCATCAACAGCCTGTCCTCCTACCCAGAAGTTGTGTCCATGCACCCCTACCTCTGTCACTCTGAAGAGGACTTCTTTGGTGTGGTCTTTCCTAAATGCTTTCTTCCACATCCCTTTGAAGTTAACAGCACTTACAAGTAGCAGCGCAGTATCGAGGTCAATAGAGCTTGGTTCAAGGAAGTCTTGGATCTGTCCTTTAAGCGAGAAGAAGCAGGGTAGCATGTTGTAAGTTACATCTTTGGCATGTGCAAATGCCTGCAATGAGGGGCACAGGGAGGGTTTTGGGGGTGGGAGTTGTATTTTCCTGTGGAGCTTTGTTTTCATTGCCTTACTGTCACATATAAGAGATCTATCAATGTGGTGTTGCTTGACTTGCCTTCCTGATCCTCAGGAGGCTGTACATAGATAATCAGGTTCCTGAGAATAATTTACCATAGAATGGTTAATTCTGTGCATCTGGTTAGACATTTTGAAAAGTGACAGGCCAATTGAAAGGAATAGATCCAGCTTTAACTATGGTTCAAGCTAGTTGCTAGAGAAAAAAAAAAAAAGATTTATATAGGGAAGAAGGAATAGGAGATAGAAACACATCTGCTGTCTCCAGCTATCCTATTTTTTCGCACTTCACTCATGTTTTTCGTTACATTTAAGTGCTAATAAATTATCACAAATTATCACTAGCTACTGAATCATTCTTTTCCCCACATCAGCCTAGTGTGTGCAATACTTCATGTCCCAGAAGCCTTCTACATCCAGTATATGTATGTAAAGTGATTCCATTAGTTTAGAACCTGGACTAACTGCATGAGTTAAGCTCTCTAGTCACAAAAATGTGTGCTGTGCATATCCTGTCACCTCTGCCTTTGCCAAATACATTCAGAAACCCAGTGTTTCTGCCATACAGGTACAAAAAATCATCCATTTCTACGGGAAATATCCTCTAAAGGAGATGAGAGGAATAAATTTATTCTCTGATTTTTAGTTCACCTTGAAGTTGCTCAGTACGGTGACAATAGTAACAAAGTCTTGCCTGACCTTACCATTTGTCTTATTTTCCACCCAGGAATTAATAAGCTGTCTGACTTCATCTGATGATTCTTTGAAGTTGATCATTTCCAGACCAGTTCTGTACAGTTTCTTAACACATTTTAGGTATATCTGTAAAGACAGCGATTGCAGCCATTAAACCAGCCAGTCTTTAAAACATTATTAAGGTGAAATAAATGTTTATAAAAGAGCTCTTCATTTGTGTGGTAACGTCACATTCGCCTTGTTCTCTGTTCCTCACTTACTAGAGCAAACTCATAAAGCTGGAGTAGCAAAAAATATTCTTACTCCTCACATTTTCACATCTGACATTTACTTACTCGACCAGTTAAGAGTGTATGTTCGAGATGTTGAAATATTTTCTTGAATAAAGTACAATCCAAAAACATAAAACATTGGTCCAGATCCATTGAAGAGTTTTCTTATCATTACATCTACTCTTTCTTTTAAAATATTTTTCCTTATAAACTTCAAAATAAGTTGCTTTGATTTAGAGTATTTGTATATTTTGTTGTGAAAATGGCAAGTGAAATATTTTGAGTCTTTCAAAAGCTGTTTTTGAAAGTGAGTTTTAAAGTCAAGAAATGAGCTGAAGTAATATTATAGACTATAAAAAGAATATAAATATATTGCACACATATATACATATATATATATATAATGATGAAGAGACTTTTGTGGGTTAGGGGAAATACTGTATACCCAAATAATTTCATTTATTAACCCACTCATTTTTTAAATAGGCCCATCATTTTGCCTGGAATTGGTTTCCATTCAAGCTGTTTTCTAGGCTGTGCCAAAAAGCCATGGAATGCTACCTCAGTGAAGAGTATTTGGTTAATGGATTCCCTTGCTTAGGCAATGCTACCGGTTTATACTGAACTTAGTGAGAAATCACTGAAACTTAGCAAGAAATCATGGTGCAACTCACCGGTAGGATTGGACATGTCTTTTCAGCATAGAGTCTGTTGGCAATGTGAAGCGAATGATTGCCTTCCGGTGCAGTGATATCAGAGAGAAGTTCTTTAAACAGTATTTGGATATTCACAGACTTGCCACACTGAGTTATTAATGAGAAGATAAGAAGGTACACAGTGTTAGCTTATTTTACTAGGAAGAGAGCTATTTTTAAGGGAGAAATAAAATGGGAAAAGAACACTGCTTAGTTATTTGCAAAATAACTATACTTGTATACTTTATACTATAGTATAAAAGCTCCATGGAGCATATGATCCATTTAACTCACTGTATGTGGTGACACTTTCTAGGTGATAGCCAGCAGGAAGCCTCAGTGATGAAACAAAAGCTATATGGCACAGGAGCAAGATTCTGACTGAAGAACAAGTCAGGTCTAAATGATTGAAACTGGTGAGTGCTTCTAGATGGAGTCGCTACTATTTTGCTTCTGTATGCGTTTTCTTGAATGTTTGAATGTTGCAGATATGAGACTAGTGCTTAGATGTTAGGAGAGTCAAGAATCTTTCCATAAAATGATGGAAAGCAAATAAACTGTTTAATGCCCCAAGAATAGTGTTCTACGTGATGCAAGTTACCTAAGGAAAAGTTACACTTCTAATTACAAACTGAGACCGCATTTTTTGAGGAGAATTGTGTTGAACTGCTCTTTTCTAGGTGACTACCAGCCATTATAACCTCTAGCTGATGTTACCTTTAGTTTAGCTTTTCTTGTTCTTAAAAAAAAAGTCCGTGTTTTTTGTGTAAGTCCCACTTCGCATTTGAGGATCCCAAGCAGGTGGGAATGTAAGAGGGTGTGTGGTTCTGTTCTCCTAGAGAGAGTAGATGAATGCAGAGTACAGCATGCATGTGGTGCCAAGAAATTGGGACCCTTTATGGTGCTCTTCCAGTAGCAGTGGGAAGTGGATCTTGGGAAAGGCCCTGTGGCTTTTTGATAAGTGCAGTTACTGTCCAGTCACTGACTTTTCTGGGGATTTTCTTCACAGCATCTTCTTGCCCCAGTTTGGAGCCTCAGCTGCAATCTGGCCCTTGCTCCAAAGTCTCTTTCACTCGCTGTCCCCTAGCATCACTAACAGATGTGCAAGTGCATTTTTACCCAGGAAGGCATCCATTTGCCCAAAGCATCTGTCCCTGTCTGTTCTGGTGCAGCCTATGTTTTTTTGTTTTTCGAACAAAAATTGTCTCTGTCTTTTGTCTCTGTTTTTTGAACAAATTTGAGTTTTCCTCTTACATTAACTGAGAACATTAGCAAAAGTATGGGAAAGGGTCAGCCCAACCTAAAGCACAGTCAAAACAACTTTTATTTCAAATGAAATGAAACAAACAAAAAAAAAAAGGAAGAGAAATAAACATACCTTAGATTTCTGCACTTTGCTGGGAATAGTTCCTCCAAGTCCTGCAATTTCATCAAAATGAAGAACCTACCATTGAAAGCAGCAATAGAATGTGGAAATTACTGAGACTTAATGATGTTTGTATTGAAAATATTGTCTCAGCATAACCAAGTCTGATTAACCCACAGATTAACTAAAAAATCGCATGCAAACTTCAAATCAATTCTACCTCATGTGCCACCAAAAATTTGAGAATGTGATGCTCTGCTTAGATCCCTGCTTTCCAGGTTCCTCCTCCAGTAACTAGTATGCATTATACCCACACTGCATTCTGCTTATAACAGAATGTTTTCTTGTTTTCTGAATGTTCCACTGTATATTACAAGTTGTCTATTAAACCTGGAAGGGATCAGTCTGAGAGAGAATGTTAGCTGCAGTATGAGACCTGCCTTAAACACGTTCTTCAGGAGTCCCTTTTACTAATGCAAACCAAAGACCATTCTTGTCCTGCATGGTGAAAGACAATGGCATATTGCATTTTCCAGGTGCAAACTTCATGGCTGAATTTCATTCTTCTTCTAGGTAAGTTTGAATCCATTGACAAATGGGGCTCTCAGCTTGAGAAAGTCACCTCAGCTGAGGTGAACAGGATCATAAACAGAACAACAACAACAACAAAACACCTTGTATCCTTTTATGTAGCTTACCTTCTCCATCTGAGATTCAGTGTTACCTCTTGCTCCCATATAGACCATAGACAGGGCTGACATGAGGCTCAGGGGGGCAAAGAAAATGTTCTGCTTGGCATGGTGGATTTTCAGTTCTTTGAACACATCAAAGCAAAATTCTGCATTTGCTGCACTGATGGAGCCCATTGTAAAATCTGTATTGGCTAGAGTAAACAGAAATGACTGTGTAGTGGTGATATGTATCATTTACTGTGTGAAATAATCTTAACAACCCAGAAACTGTTATTTCAGTGCTTTTTCTGTGATACTGAAGCAAAGGACTACAAATTCTGTGATCGCAAGAAATCTTAAAACCTCTGACCTATTTCTATCCAAATGTGTTTTCCTTCATCAAGATACCAGCTTATTATCAAGAAGCAAGCTTGATTTGCCTTTTAGGAAATAGATAATTTCATCCGTGCTTCACTGTAATAAAAAATAGCAACAGATAGATGAAATTCCCCATGATATTCAGGGGATGTTTGAGACAATGTAAACTTCGTATTTCATTTCTCCTTTAGGCTCTGAGTCTTTCATTAAAGTGTAGCCAGTTTCATATATTCTTAGTGTGCTTCTTGCTGCTTTTTAGTACAAGTAAATATAAATGTGAAGATTACTTTCCTGTAATTTGGAGGAATAATAAGAATATATTTCTCTGTAAATCTGGCTGGTTTCTTAGATGCTGAATTGAAGATTTATTGAGCATTTTGTTTGTTCCTTTGCTTACTAGCTTGTTTGCTTATTTTCCCTGTGTTCCTGTTTCCCGCCCTAAATGTCCAATGTGTGCGAATGAATGTGGCACCTTCTTGGTATTCACTGAATCCTGCAGTCATTTACTTTCTCGAATATAAGACCAAATAAACTGCATGTTGTTCTTTTGTCTGTAAAATAATAGTTAAAGTCAGAGGAATAGCATATTTAGGATTTGGAATGGATGTGTTCCCTTGTGTGACCTGAGAAGTGTCTGGCATTAATGACTGTGAAACCACAGTCATTTACAGTGAACTGTGAGATTTTTCCTCTCCTGTGTTCTCTAGAGATTTAGCATAGAGAGACAGAACCATTTTTTGATTTCCAAAAGAATTATTAAAATGATAAAAGAACTGTTTTAATGTGACACCAGATTTTCAAGAAGAGGTAAGAAACTCAAAGCTATGATATTCAAAGACTCAGATGTTGCACATCCTAAAATATTTGACAGTCAAACAGTATAAAACACATTGATAAAATCAGTTAAAATTACTGTCTGTCCTGGTGTTTGTACATATTTTTCTTATACTTACCATAAAATTCTTAGAATAATAACTTTTTTCCATATTAAAGAATACAATAAATAATTAGATATTGTATTTTACTTGGAAGAAAACTTACTTACCCCACAAACTTCAAAGAGGCAGGTAATATTCAAGCTTGCTAGCTGAAACTAAACAGGTCTTTTCAGCTCCTGTTGATATATATTGCACCATTTGGGACACTCCCACTGTAAACCAGAGATTCATCAACTCTATGTTTTTTAATTTATCACCCTTTGAAAGAATGAGTAGATGAGCATTAGACTGATACTTTATTTTCAGCTACTCAATCTCTATTTATTGAGGTAACATCTAATGAAATATTCAAAGATTTACTGTATCTTATAATATGGTATCAAGACAATGGTATACAAATCTGCTGCAGAGCTGTTCTGCTGAATTCATTAATGTGATTTGGCTTTACAGGCAACTAGAACCAAATGAATAATGAATGCAAAAAAATGTAAGGAAAAAAAAGTTTCATTAAAAAGATATTTAATAAGATGTAATTTTTTAAAAAATAGTATGTTTCTTATAAGCCTTGCTGTTGCATCGTGTCAAGTGATTTTCACAGTCTATAAATCTTGAAATGTGAGGAGAAATAATATCGGATGATAGTCAATGACAGCCCATCATTAATAGGTATCTACAGTTACAGCTGAGGATAGGTAGTCTCTCCTTATAAAGGAGCTACAAGAAAGTACATCAGATTACTAAGATTTTATTCTCTTCCTAGCTATTTCTCCTGTTCTCACCTGTGAGGCACTATGTATGAGAAGCACACAGAAAGTAATTTAACACAGTAGTCCCACCAAGGATGGAGGGAAAAGTGGACACTGGGGTACTTGCTGGATATCTAATATGAATGCAACAACTCATTACAGTATCCATACTGTAATGGGAAGTGCCTCACAGACAGCAACAATTTGATGTTGAAGAGCTGCAGATCCAAGCAGAACTAGCTTGCAAGATGGCAGTTCTACTCAAAAAAAAAAAAAAAAAAGAAATGGGCTTTGTTTCATACAAAAAAAAAAATTCCACTTAATTTTGGAAAGAAAAAATTAGGACTGAAATTTATTTTGCTCTGCCCAAGTGCAGAACTGAGTTCCTGGAGTGTGAGGACTGAAGTCTTGTTGAATATCTATCACAGAATGTCTATATTTTTACCTAGATAATACCAAAGCTTTTTGCCTACTTTATCAGGCGTAATCTGAGGTTCCACATGTGTGGGTCAGGGGAGGAAGTCTAAGGAATAAACACATTTTACTAACACATCATTTTAAAGAAAACATTCAGAGCATCAATGTTGAGATGAAGTAGATAATGGAGGATGACATTGGCCAAGGAAGGAACAGAATATTTGCTGCTTTGTTGTTATACTCTAGAGTTTTCAGAAATGAATTTTAACCAGCCAATAGCATCTAAAGAATAATTGAATGATTGAAAGTGAACTTTTAATTTGCGTTTGCCACAGGTCACAGTAACAAAGCTTGTAGTATATACACAGACCATTCTCATATATTTTTTATATTTAACTTTTTATTATGGCAGGTGAATAAGGTACAGAATCTGTCTGAAGCAGCATTCATGGTCTGTTAGACAATCATAATGCACAATATCAAATATAATTCAAATTTACAAAGCTATTACTCTCTACTAAATAATAGACTTGATGAGCAACAAAGAAACAAATCTGCCATCTGTAAAGGCTACAGGGATGAATAACAGAAATTCCAAGTACATGTTCTACTATTTGCATGTACAATTTGTACATATGAAGTCACAAAACATACAGCAGTGGTTACACTCTCTGGTGAGGGGGAAATGGGCTACCTTATCATTTGCAGTGTATTTTGTTCTGCTGAAACACAGGAGTATATGTGCAGAGCCTGGTGACTGCTTGCAGCTTACCAACTCAGAATGGGCTTTCCACTTGAGAATGTTACAGCAGTCATGAGGGTGTATGTTGTCTAAAGACGGTAAGTGCTTTTCATCACAGCTTGTCTAGTGTTCCTTTTTGGTAATCTGGGCTGCTTTATCCTGAAATGCCTGTACACCACTGCGCGAAGCATGGGGAATAAGCAGGATGAACTGGAGATCTGTGTGCAGTCCCAGTGACATGATCTCATTGGAATCACAGAGACATGGTGGGATAGCTCACACGACTGGAGCGCTGCCATGGAAGGCTATGTGCTCTTTAGGAAGGACAGGCTGGGAAGGCGAGGTGGTGGAGTTGCTCTTTATGTGAGAGAGCAGCTGGAATGCATGGAGCTCAACCTGGGAGTGGATGATGAGTGAGTTGAGAGCTTGTGGGCAAGGGTTAAAGGGCAGGCTAATGTGGGAGACACTGTGGTGGGTGTCTTGTACAGAACCACATCCAGGCAGGTTTTAAATTATCTCCAGAGAAGGAGACTCCACAACCTCTCTGGACAGCTCGTGCCAGTGCTCAGTCACCCTCACAGTTAAGACGTTTTTCCTCATATTCAGACGGAACTTTCTATGCTTCCATTTGTGACCATTGCCCCTTGTCCTATCACTGCTCACCATTGAAAATAGCCTGATCCCATCCTCTTGCTACATTCTTTTGAGATATTTGTACATGCTGGTATGATGCCCTTTCAGTCTTCTCCAGGCTGAAGAGGCCTAGCTCTCTCAGCCTTTCCTCATAGGAGAGATGCTCCAGTCCTCTAATCATCTTTGTAGATCTTTGCTGGATTCTATCCAGTCTCTCCTGTACTGGGAATCCCAACACTGGTCACAGCACTTTGCATCTAGCCCCACCAGGGCTGGGTAGAGCGGGAGAAATCACATTCCTTCACCTTCTGGCAATGCTCTTCCTAACTGCACCCCAGATGCCATTGGCCTTCTTGTCCAGAAAGGAACATTGCTTGTTTGACCAGGCTCACCAGGGCTCACAGGCCTTTCTCCACAGAACTGCTCTCCAGCAGGTCAGCCCCTAGCTGCATGGCGTTCCTGCTCACTAGCTACAGGACTCTGTTCTTACTTTAATTGAACTGCATGAGGTTCCCGCAGAGGACAACATACAGAGAAAATGTCCCTCTCTTCAAAAGCCTTGCGTTCTACAGATATGTTTACAGAAAACTTGCCCATTTTTCCAAAGGACACTGCCGTATCAGCTAAGGTTGGCCTCACTCGTCCTCATTTTTTTTTTCAGTGATCCATAGAAAATCTGGTCCCTACCTCATGCTGCTTCAGCAAGGCATAAGCAGCATAGACAACATTACAGACCCTAGTCATAAGAAGACAAAGAAAAAAAAGTGCAGAATGGAAGAATGAAAGGTATGCGAATAGGAGCAGCAGGGTGCATCAGCACCAAGCCGCATTAGTGTTTAATCTGCTACTACAACAGGAGAAAGGAAATGTTTTTCAGGCAATGCATCATGTATTTCTCTTTCAGGACTTCTGGCAATTTTGAATCAAAACGAATATAATGAATTGGAAATTATAATCCTGGAGAATAATGAATTATGTGTTTCAGGCACAGCTATGTGTGCTAGAGCCATAATTTCTCTCAAATTTCCTTCTTCTGTATAAAAACTTGTTAAGAGGATGTCCAAGCTACCTAATATTTACAAAGAGTGAATATATACTATACTATTCATGTACTATATATATATATATATATGTATATTCTCTATACTGCTACTCTACTATACTCTTTATATTGCAAGAAAGTTCTGAAAATTCTCAGCCTTTATCTTTACTAGATTATAAAAACACGTTTGTTTGTTTTGTTTGTTATGTTTTTGGGTATTTCCATTCCTCTCCCTGCCCCCTTTCTGAGTTACCCCAAAGAATAACTTCCGGTCCAGCACTTCATTTAGTGGAGGTTTGTTTTACATGGACCACAGCACCCAATTCCTGTCTCTCTAGAGCAGTGACGGGATTTTGGCCTTCCAAATCAGTCAGTAGTTGATATTTCAGTTCTCCTCTAGCACATCAGCTCTGGTTACTTTGCTTGCTGAAGCCATGATAATCCTTCAAACTAGTGATTCTGCAACTCTGAAAATGATGAAAACCTAGAGCAATAGTGTCAAGTGAAACAGACTATTTTGGGGGTGCTTCAAGTGGCAGAAATGAAAAATGTACATTTATTCACTTGCAATTTCTTGTCACTTAAACATTTCTCCTTAGAATCCTCAAGTGGTTTTATATTTTACCAAGGATTTTAGAAAATGCCACAGGAATTTATGCAGTGTTAGTTAAAAGGAAGCATTTTGATTATTTTCCCACATGCAGCAGAATGCAACACATTTGGTCTAGATTTATGCTCATTTTCACATTGTTCTTGGGTTTGAATTGTAAAGGACATATAAATGCTTGGACACATTTTGCATCTGATGTAGGAGAGACTTATGAAAAATTTTACATTCAAACATTAGATACATACTATAGGGTGTGTGGTCTACTTTTTCTGTGTCTCTGCTACCCAGTCACAGAAAATTCAGCGGATGGAAAATGATTTTAGAACAGAAGGATCTGATAACAAAATCAGTTGCCCATATGGTAAATGAAGATTCCAAAAGTAACATGGATGGTAAAGGGATGAAAAATCTATTCCCCAAAACAAATCTTAAAATAACTCTGAACAGACACAGTGAGCAAATCACTGCTGTTCTTTTGCAACTCCATATAACTATTAGTCTCGGAAGTCACAGAAATATGTGGCTGGAAGGAATCTTGAGACTGTCTAGGGCATCATCAGCCCTAAGGCAGGATCAGCCTTAGATCAGCCTAGGTTGTAGTTAACAGATGTTTGTTTAACCTGTTTTCAGAAGCTTCTAGACAGGGTGTTTCCAAACCTCTGTTATGTTTCAGTGCCTTATTATACACAGACTTTTAACTTATCCCTTTCCTAAATCATTCTGTCTGCAAATTAGGGCAGTTACACCCAGGCATCTTTAAACTTTGAGATATACTGCTGGCCAAGTCATGCAGATGTTTATTAGGCAATATATTGCTTGCACAGGGTGTGGTGTTTGCGAGTGTCTCACACTATTGTAAAATGTAATTATTGTAGATGTACTCATTAGCAAAAACTTATTACTGTGCTAATCACATTACTCTTCTCAGTGTGGGTATTGCTAACTACTTTAACAAATTATGGACTTGGAAACTTGAAATATCATTCATGGCTGCCCAGCCCTATAGAACATTAAATAGCTTTCTCAGTTCTGGATTCTGGAGCTAATTGCTCTTCCTCATTCCCTTGATCGACTTCGAAGTATGATTTCCATAGCTGCCAAACTACGCACTTTCTTGATACTTAATATACTATTTGAATAGCAGTTGATGTGGGGATACTCTTGTCAATCCTCACAGCTAGCAAAATAGGTGCATTGTAGTCCAAGTTGAAGTGTAAGTGCTAGTCGATCTTGAGACTATATTCTCAACAAAGAAATTGCTGACACCAAAATAAAATTTGAAGACAGCCTTTCCAAGCTGCTCAGCCCCACGAGGAACTGACAGTTATGTAATTTTGGAACAGGAGATCAAATTTTCAGCTGATGTAAACTAATGTAACTCCACGGGAGATGTGAAATAGGAATTTGTTTTAGTGAAAGAAGATTTTTCTTCAGGCCACAGAATGATGAAGGTCTCCAAATGGTATGTTGTCCTCATCCTGCCATAGAATGTGTGTAATATATCCTTAAATCAGCATGTGATTCAAATTCCCTGTCTGTTCTTATTGCAACAAAGAACTACTGACCTGCCCCGAAAATAGAGTTCTAACTTCTCTCCCCATTCTAGGTTTCCAAGTTGAACTGATATTTAAAATTGATAAAGTTGTTGCTTTCATGTGACACTAGGTAAGATTTGACAGCCTTTTCATTCTCGGTCTATGAGCCACAGCCACTTACGAATACCAAATACCTGTATTCTACATGGTTCCAAACGTCTTAGTGTAATCCAATATGGAACATATGACCAATATCATTTGTTAGCAATCTCCATAAAATGAAGTGTTTTTGCTAAGCAGAACAATTAGTGTTGCAATCAATTCCTTTGTACATATCTGTCTGTGAGAGCAGAATTCCATCCTGTAAGTGAAGCAATCAGTGGTTCAAGATCTGCAACACACATTATTGTCCTGAACTACAGAAGAATGAGTCTTCCACTGTCATCAGCTGAAGTAGTAGTCATCTTTTCAAAATCATGCTATCAGTTTGTTTCAGGGAAAAATTTAAGAAAAACAAAAATCAATTGAAAAAAATAATATATAAATAAATATCTCAGAAGAATTACTGCCTCTGGTGACATCATCAGTGAAAAAATAATACCCTCTTCCCCTCAAGCATTATACTAATAGTGATGAATTTGATGAGCACAGGGAGAAATCTTATTGCACAGTGGAAGGATATGGTGCTGTTAGGTGCTCGTGGTGCTAGCTCATTAAAGAAGATGGTAAAATAATCTAGAGGGGCAATAACTACTGGGATTTAGTCAGTGACAAGTACACTACTTGTCCCAGTAAAATGCTATAGTATTTCTTCGGCCTGAGGGTACAGGGGACTTTTTGCCTAAGGAGTTACCTTAGCCCAACATCCCAGGTGAAAAGGAGGGGATAATAAAGAGTTCAGCCAAAGGTGTTAGTCAGGTGTGGTTCCCAATTCG